TGGAAACCAACTGTTCTGTGTCACTCCAAGATTCGTGTTCACCCTCGGGCAGGCCTTTCAAAATCAGGTTATTTCTTCGCATCCGATTGTTCATATCATCAAGGGTTTCAGTGGGCACATTAAGGTGGCGATACACACCAACAGATTCCCGCTGAACGTCACTCAACTCCTGTGTAAGTTGAGCGACATTTTCCTTTACAGTGGTGATTTCGTTTATTTTCGCTTCTAGGCTAGTCACCCGCAACCTGAGACCGGCAATTCCAGCATTGATTGCATCTAGTTTCTCTGAGCTTTCCTGTTGGTAGCGAGCAGAACTTGTTGTTAACGCCTCGATAGCATGCTGTAGCTTGTCTAGTTTTTCTGCTCCGGCCAGAGGGCCAGGGTTTGACTCAACGTTGCCGGACGTCGAGGGCAATACAAGTACGACGGTTGCAACAACGAACAACTTGAAAAATCCCAACGAGCCAAAACAAAAGAGGTTCAAACGTTCAGGTGGCAAGTGATGCAATCATTGTTTTGACCTATTCGAAAAGCAGCCAACACGAGCTCGGTACGTTGACACATCAACACCCATAATGCTCAGACTCTAGGGGATTTGCAGCCGTGAAAAGAACAAGGAACGTAAAAGGTCACAAAGATTGCCACAGCGCAAACCTACCTGGAAAGGTTTCACGACAGGTTAGGTGGCGGTAACAACTTGGCTGCAAATCCCGCTGTTGGAATGGTGGTGGTTCCTTATGTAGGCGGCTGAAGTCCAGGGAAGCGGATGATGTAGGGGTCAGCTGGTTGAAGCAAAGTCCTCGTCACTGTCGCCGATGCAGTACTTGTGATAAGTGGCCTGATTGATCACTTTCACGTGGCGGTGTGCGGCTGCACAGTCAGCAGGGATGGTGAACGTAGCGAAGAAACTCGTGATACCAGGCAACCGCAACACGGTCGTTGCAGCAGAAAAAGATCCTGGAAAGGTTTCACGACGGGTTAGGTGGCGGTAACAACTCGGCTGCGAATCCCCTGCTGCCATTGTTAAGACAGTTTTGAATGTGATGCCATAAGACGGATGCCAGAAGGTCACTCTATAATAGTGCGGTTTACCTACAGAAGTGAACTGCATAAACTTTATGGCGTCGCAGAATAGACTTTCGGGCCCAGTGTCACCTTTACATTGACTTTTGGAAAGGGTTCAAGCCCTTGCAATATGTCTTGCCAGACAAACATTTGTGCAGCTGGAGCACCTGCCGAAGCAACCCACTCGTGCTTTACACCGGCACTCTCATATCGGGCTTCACCGCTTTGTTCTGACTTTTCGGTGCAAAGTGGTCGGCGTAGAAACAGTGTCTCGTCTATGAAAGCTAACCTACCACTTCCCCTTCTTTCGTTGTGTCTAAAAACATGTCGTCTGTGTCCGTTTCATAAAATTTATGACGCCAACCCTTTTCTAAAAGACTAGCTTTTTCTTCCTCCTCCGTACATTTCCTCTCGCATTGACCGTCAGTTCGGGCTCGGACTTCACTGCTGTCAGACCGCTGCCCACGTGGACCCTTTTATGCCATGAACGTCGTCCGGACGGAACCATCTTCCCTCATCAACAGTATTAATATTCTCAGTAGATTCGTAAGAGCTGCCATGACCAACCATATTTGTTAACGTAAACCTTCTAATGTTTTATCTTTTGACTGACTGCATTTTTTTGTCATAGTGTTGATGCCATCCTAAATTTTTTTTTAATTATTTTGTTCCTTGCTCCTCCTACCCCCGTAATGTCTCTGAGTCCCAAGGGTGCCCAAAATAAGAAATTCACAGAGTTTCTTATATTATCCCTAAGACGACTCGAAGACGAAAGCCCAAGCGCCGATCCCGGTGATAGCGAACCTCTGAAGACAGCGCGCCCTCTGACGACTCACTTTTGGCGTCGTTAATCCCACGGCATGTTGCATGCCCGCTCTTTACCGCTGCCCGAGCGAGAGTGTCCTCCTCTCCCTCTGCGTTTTGGCACAGGTCTCGTGGCCCAGTGGCGAACCGTGTGTTTTGGTACCTTTCGGGTCGCTGACAGGTTTTCATGCTTTTCGTGTCATCAACATGTTTTCGCTCAAGGACTTTGAAGGTCGACTGAACGATGAGACATATAAGGCTTTCGCCTTAATAAATAAATAAAAATGCAGCCAATGTAGAGGACACCTCAGTTTACCAAACGGGCTCGGAAGTTTGCCGGAGTAAGCGCTTGATACGTCCTTTGCTTTTATTTCATACGTTTCGAAAGGAGTTGGCGAGTGCATGTTGCGACACGAGCACACACTCAGTATTTTACTCTGCGTTACGGGGATTTGCAGTGATATACATACACGAGGTGCATCCACACTTTGTACAGAGTACTGCAGACTAACCTGTTCAAAGTGTTGCTTATTCATTTATTGATACTACAGTGCGATCCACTTATAAAGATAGTGAGAAAACCCAAAAGTTCAATTGTTATAACTGATTATCGTTGTGTCTGGACTAGGAACTGATCATTATAAGTAGTACATGGTATGTGGCATCATTATAAGTGGATTTCACTCTTCTACATCTCCTAGTGGAGATTTTGTAGGGGGGGGGGAAAAATGATCCATACCGCCAATCAACATCAGGAACAAGAAAAATAGCCACGCATAGCAGTTAGAGCAGGTCTAGTATGAAACAGCTCAGACTGAATGCCATTATACATTTTTAGGAAGGAGTCCTATAAGTTACACTATGTTGCTGCAAAGAAATAGGGGGGCATAGACATTTGCACGACTAAATCTGCAAAAGGTACAATGAGAAATGTTTGTGAATTGCAATGAGGAAGTTTGTGTGAAAGTAATGCATAGCCGATTAAAGGGCAACTCCCCACAATTCTGAAGATTTCAGGACCATGAGTTATTTGCGTTAAAAGCCCTAGTAAAAGACACTACGTCATTTGCTTTGTGAAAAATGGGATAGATATTTTTAAAATTAATTTTAAGCATGAGCAGAATTCAAAACTGAAACTTTGGCTCCGTCTGGCATCATTTGCCTGGTGCCGCCAAGAACATGGCTATCACGTGGTACGAGATGTCATGTGATCCTCTACACAACGACGGGCAGGATTGAGGTGGGCATGTGTTAGGCGCCAGTGTTGTCTGCATCGCACTCTTTACCACATTTTGGTGTCTACAACGTTCGTCGACGTCTGCACAACTGCTGCGTAAGTCTGTGCATATAGTGTCCATAGTGTGGACGAACTCCGCGAGACAATGATCCTAAACGGCGAGACGACGACAACGGTTGTGATGCGGGAGACGGGCGGTAACAAGACCATGGCGGGGCGGTCGGACGGTTCCCAAGAAGCGGGCTGCACAGTCGCATTCAGTTATTCACGTGGACAGTGCTGAGTGCCAAGAGGGAATGTTACTGACGTCATTCGTTGCGCCTGCGTGGGGAAGTAAAAACAAGCAAAAGAGGGCGATGTTGATGACATTTGTTCAAAGTTGGCTACGCCCACGACGTAGCCTTGACTGTGCTGTCGACTGCACCTTAATTCGCCTGCTTGAGTAGGCCGAATTCGGCAACTTGGCGAGTTGCAAAGTTTGCCGGACCGTTTAAGAAACATTTGGAGAGAACTATGTCGTCATATTTGATGTGTGGTCTTCCTAGGTGATACTGAAGAGGACTGCATTGTTTTTTCAAAAACAAAAGTGAAGTGGAGTTGCCCTTGAATGTTACGACGTCATTCGGCAGAGAACTCCAGTTGTGTATCGTCCTCGGGAACGAGGGAAGTTTAAACAACCTTATCTTGCTTGCACACTCGGACAGTGCTGCGTCGTTTGTGTCCTAGAGGTGTAATCTGTAGCAGGATGGTGGCGAATAAATTTTTTTTTGTCAAAGTTGTTTTGTAGATTAAACGGGAATTTCAGCCTATCGAGTCTACGCCAAACTTCGAAGCATCGAAAACCAAAGCGTACAGTATATGGAGCACAGATTTTGGTAACCCGTAGTTGCGTCTCAACATGACACGGTCGCACAATACTGTCTGAAGAGGCTTGCATACTTAAAAGCTGTACTCAAATTTTTAACGCAGAACATGTTTTATGGGTCGTTTTCTGTGAGAAAATTGTCACGAACGAGCATCACGAATGAGCCTCGGGAACAAAACCCTGGGAGCGTCACACAACATTATGCGTATATATAAAGCTTACGAAGGTCCTCGTAAAATCAACATAAAGAAAGACGCCCCCAGCGGTGCTTGAACAAGGGTCTGTGCAGTGGCAGTCGGATACTATTGGGGAGGAGATCAGACCATGGCGCCCCCAGAGGCTAACTTTAGAACTACACGGATGGGGACAGGACGCTGCGTCGGCATTCTTCCGGTATTCATGTTCTCTGGTCGCCCGAGGGGGAGGAGGGGCTCTTTTGTTACCACTCTGTTCTGCATGAACAATGCAGCATGAACGGTGCATATGCCCAGCTCAGCACAAAAGTCCAAGTGGGTCAAGCTCGCATTCTCTGATGACAGCTTTCGGGAGAGATCCGGCACTTAACATCACTTCGATTATTGATTGTATTTTTACATTACACTGTGCCCCATGCTGTATTGAAGAAGATGACGTGGACATGCCCACAAGGCCTGTGCGCATGTCCGCAGACATTTGCGTTGGGCAAGCACCGAGGTGTGGGGACAACAAATGTGTAAGAGTGCCTCCTATAGTTTGATCTCCTTGCCAATAGCGACCGAACTGCGAACACAGCTGCCCTGGAAGGGTAAGCGATTTTGTTTGAGTGCAAAGGTTCAGGCGAGATTGGCACGTTTTGATTGAAGATAGTAAATGTAGTAAGTAAAAATGAGTGAATAAAAATATAAAATAAAAAGAACGAAAAATTTAGCGCAAACCATACACAGAGTGTGGTTTGTCCAGGACACTTTCTGTGGCCCCCTGGTCATGGGGAGCACGACGAAGCTTTAACAATTTTCCAAAAGATGCTCGCGGGCTTTTCTGGGTGCCCAGGTGCCCAAGGACCTGTCCAAGGTGAGCCCCGGCCAGACACCCATCCCGGACCTGGCCCACTTTGTGCTGGGCCTGGAGAGCTGCTCCCACCAGGACCCGGACTTCATTGCGTTCTGCGTGCTCAACATGATCATGGGCGGAGGGGGCTCCTTCTCTGCGGGGGGCCCCGGCAAGGGCATGTACACCCGCCTCTACACCAACGTCCTCAACCGGTGAGGAAACCCCTCCGTCTCCCCCTCATGGCAATGACGACAGGGGCGGAAAAAAGCCAAATGTTTTCGTAGCTGTATTGTAATACCCTAAGTCATTGCCCGCACCACTGTTTGGGCAAATGCAGTAAACTTTCAATTGAGCAAACTTCAAGGGACCCACGGAAATAGTTCGCTTAACTGAAAGTTCAGTAAACCGAATATATTTACTAGAATGTGGAACAGCAGAGGGCACAGCATACATCGAGTCAAAGGTGTGAAATGCAATCTATGGAGTCACATACACCGATATATACAAACTGCATAACAGTTACGTTGCTGCCTTTCCCATTTTGAAAAAAATATATATATATAATTTCCATTTGTATCGGCGCGCTTAAAGCGCTTGAAGTAACAAAGCTGTCCAAAGAGTATGTTTTTTTGCACTTCCTCTGGCACAGCTTCTTGCTGTGACGAAGCCATACCACTACGGCATTTTCCAGTGGCTGGAAATACCCCGTGCAGAGTCATTTCCTGTTGGGATTGAACGCAGTTTCTCCTCCAAGCTTCGACTTTTGCTTCACTATCGTTGACAACGTCGACGGTGGAATCCCATAGTCCTTCGCAACGTCCACTTGCCTTTGACAGTTGTCCAGATGCTAAAGGATCTTGAGCTTGTCCGATAGAAACAACCGCTTCTGTTTCGTCGTACTCATTACAAAGTGGACGCACCAACTGCCGTCCTGCCGCTGTTAGCCAAAACTAAGATGGCCGAACGGAACCGATGGCAAAAAAAAACAACAGACACGCCACGGGGTTTGTTTTCGTCTACCGCATCGCCGCTTTGTCTCGGCAGTGCTGTAAGTTCCAGCGATGATAGGCCTCCGCTACAGAGGCAGCAGCGGCGGGCATTGGCTATGCCAGCACTGCAGAGCACAAAACTTCGTTGAACTGATTGCAAAAATAATCCTGGGTCCATTGATCAAGTTCGTTGAACTGAAATATTCGCTATTCCGAAATTCGCTAATTCGTTTAAGGAGGGACGCAAGAATCGAATTGCAAAAAAAAAATGTGAAAAGAAAAAACTTTTTTTTTTCTAAAATCCAAAGCTTCGGCATCTTCGGTTCTTTATGTATGTGATTTCAAAGTTTTTTTATCTAAAAACAAATGACATATATCCTTAATGATCAAGTATATCGGTGCAGGTAGCAAAAAAAGGACCTCATAAATGCGAGAACTGTGCACGTTTCAAGCCCTCATATCTCCAAAACGGGGCGATGGGCAACAATATCGTCAACAATAACGTCAACAATATATAAAAATATGTCCTTCGTGTATTTTCTCAAATGTTGCAAAATCGAGGGGTGGGCAGTTATTGTTGAATGTGTGGATGCTCTGTCTTTTAGGGTAGGTGCCTTGCCGAGTGATTGCTTGGCCGACGAGCGCAGACATGGTGGTAGCAAATTTGGAAAGCTAAATAATTAATTGCTTCGAAACATACTTTTGGCTCGGAGCCCATGGGGTTATCTGGAGAATGGCATGTTATCCTAAAACACGATTGATGCTACATTTCCACCTAGTTGATTGATTGACTGGTTGATGGGTGTTTGCAACACATCTATATGGATGTCCCGCCTTCCATTCAAGGTATCACTGGATGTACAATGCCACAGCATACAACCATGCTTACGGAGATTCAGGCATCTTCTGCATCCATGCCAGTGCCGACCCATCGCAGGTGAGACTGTACTTTTATTTGCACATTTTTTTATGTTTGGGAGTTGGAACTTCTGGGAATTCCGATTGACTTTGCTCGACTTTGTGTTTAAGTTTATGCTACTGAAATGTTTGGGTGACTGGATGATCATTAGGGGAGTATTGGACTTACCTTAAAATTCCGATTAAATGCCCATTCATGGTGACGAGAGAAATGGGGAGAAAATATAGGGTGGCCATTCTTGTGGATGCGGCCTCAATGTTTTGTCAAAAATGGGCCACGTGACACGGGAACTGGTACCACAGATCGCAGACACGGAAAATCGGCTTTTCACGGTGCGTTCAGCATGTGGTGTTACGTTTCTCCGGGAGAATCGACGAATCCGGAGACCGACGTTTATTTGGCAGCGTTTATTGTTCGGCAGCCGGAACCAAAAGAGCGCAAAGCTTGCCGGCGATGCCGCTTATATCGGCAGCAAGCACCAGAGGTACGCCCCCCTGACTCAGCAGTTCTGCTGCGACAGCGATAAGCGATAACATCACATCGTAACAGTGGCAACTCACTACAGTTTCACAGATTGCACATGTGGTGAAGTCGAGTTCTGTGGCAGAATAAACATGCGGGACCTTGCCACGAACTTTCGTGTCGTGGGAGCCAATACTGCTGCTTGCAAATGCAGCAGATTTACGTTTCACGGTGTGAAAGATGCACTGGAACCCACCGCAAACGTGCTTCTTACGAGTACCAATACCACAGATTGCACAATTGATGTGATTCCCGTCAAAGATATACAGTCTAAGCTCATCACAACAGACCTGGTTACAAAAGACATTTGGATATAGCATACCGATTTGTGAAATTTGGTTGGTTTTCCTCTATGTGCGGTATTCTTCGGTACGATACATTTTAATGTAAAATTGATGCCCAGACAAGCGCCCATTCCCCTTTTTTTCGCGATTGTCTCCAAATTTTAAGCGGGTGCACGCCTGGTAATTTATGGTTTATAGTACAAATATCTTTGCTTGTCAAATATTCTCGCGAAGGGCAATAAAACTCTAGTGCATTCAGTAGGGAAAGCAAACACCTGTGCAGGGATGGGCAAAATACATGCAAATATGTATCGAAATACAAATACAAAATACTTTGTCAGAAATGTATTTGATTACAAATCTAATTACATTTAAAAAAAAGCATTTAAATACAAGATACAAATACAACCAAATGTATCTGGTCTCCTTTAAATACTTTTCCAAATACATTCCTCAAAATTTGCGTCAGCGACTTCAGGGCACCTGCAACGGGTTTCTGGGTATGTCATTTTAATTTTGCATCGCACACTCGGGAGTAAGTGTGCGAGGCTCTAGTAACGTAATAAAAATATAATCACAAAAAAATGTAATCAGCTTGGACGTAATAGGTGAAAAAAGTAAAGAGCTTCAAGCAGCTTTTTTTGTCGATTACATTTTGGTATAGACCAACAAATAACCAAGACGTGCAGCACTAGCTAGATAATTTTTATTGTTGCAAATCACATCAGTTACGAAAATCTGGACGACCCGCGCATTTAGAATGTTCCAGGCAAAAGTGTGGATGGAAATCAGGCTGGAAAGCATCACAAGTTGTCACAGGCACTTATTTACCCAGTCTGCCCGTGAACGTTGATTTCGTCACTATTCTTGCCCTGGACTATAGTCGGTTACAAGTCAAGAAGGTAGGAGAAGCTCCTCCCACAAGTGTGATGCGCCCGTTTCAAATCTCTCCGCAGTCGAAAGAAGAGTTCACTGGAAACGCTCCTTGTTCCGCTTCAATGGATTCTCACTTGTCTCCGATCCCACTTTTTAAGAAAGCGACCTTTGTATTCATCGGGGAGGGAACCGAGCCCCTGAAAGCAGCCTTTGTATCCATCGGGGGGGAAGCTAATCCCCGAAAGTCGTATTTGTTTCCGTCGGTGGGGGAGAACTCTAATCTCCCTCTCGTGGCTTCCACAATGCTAAGTCAAAGTCGAAAAATAAAGCAAATATGTACAGAAAGGCAAGACCCTCCTCGCGCGTTGGCCGCGACGTCACGGAAACGGTGGGACGCTATTGGATGCGGAGGTGGCGGAGGGATATCCGATTCCCTTTGAGGAGCATTTGCCGCTACCTTCTTAACCTGTAACTGACTATAGCACCGTAATCACAAAGTCACTAAACACTTGTGCTTGATTGAGAGACACTGCATTCGGTGCAGAGCGTAGTTTTCTTACTGCTCTGGACAGTGACAATAAATTTGAGGGATGTATTTTCGTCCACAAAATTGTATTTAATTATAATTGTATTTGAAATACCCACGTTTTAGTATTTAAATACACACATCAAATACATTACCCAATTTGTAATTAAATACAAATGCAAAATACACAAAGTATTTGAAATACGTATTTCAAATACTTGTATTTGAAATACTGCCCATCCCTGCACCTGTGCAGCAGAAGCATGTCTTTTAGTTATTAATCATACAAAAAATTGAAAAAAAAAAAAAAAAATTTACTAACCCATATTTAGCCTTTTGCACTGTCTTCTCGAAAAATTATAGATCCACCATCATTAGTTTACCTCGCTGACTAGAGTTTCGAATTTCAGCCGACATGGCCAAATACGGTAGAAACTCATGGATGTGTTCTAATTTTATACACTTACAAATTCTGTTCCCATTGAGCTCCCGTAGGGATATGCATATCAATTTCACATTTGTTGCAATTTGCTGCCCGTTTTTTTCCGTTCAAAAACTACTGTGCGACAGCCAAAGCAATGCAGTGTGCAACAATGGCCACCCTCTTCCTTTTACTCCGTTACCCCCGTCTCTTTGCCTTTGTGTGTGGTGCCTCTTACCAGAATAGTCTTGATTCGAGCTTTCACAATCGCCCATTCTTCCTTTCATTCCTTTATGGGACGCACACGAGTGCTTCTATTGCGCTCCGTTCCCCTGATTTTGCCAGTTTCATTCCACGTGGAGTTGAGAGTTTGTAATCACACACTGCCCAGCCCAGAACACTCCGAACTTCACCGCTTTGTACCGGCGTGCTAGGAATGGCAGCTGACGTGGAGGGAGCATCTGGGTCAGCTCAACAAGCTTGTATAAGTCTACCTTTTTTTTTTTTAAAAAAAATTGGTGTCTCAAATTAGAGGGGTCGACTCATAGCGAAGTTGACCTACGTACATGTGAGTCCGCACTCATTCTTGAGCCGAATGACAGGTTGTAGAGATCTAAGGACCTAGGGACCTTTCCTTGCGTGAAGGGTCAGTTTGGTATTGTTAGCTAATGCCTGGGTGACTTTATTTCAGGAGTAGAAACTAATTTTAACATTTATTGATATGTTTGAAGAGCATAGAAATATTATACTGATAAAAAAAAAGTGTTCATCATTGCCCGAGAAACTGAGTCGAGAACTCCGCGGGGGGAACGTAGGGATTTGTACCTAGGCGCCGAGATAAAGGAAAGCACGGTTGAGGCACGTTTTCCTTGTCATATTGTCGTTGCGATCAGTCGCACGCACGCTCGTTGTGTAGTGCGGCAGTTGCGCTTCTCGGCTATCTCAACTCTCAACTTACCCAGTGTACACCAACGATGGCTCCGCAACCGCGGCATCAGTACAGCGCGTCTTTTACGACGTTGGAGCGCCCAGAGCGCTTGCACAGCATTTTGCTGCCCGTGCGATCCTACGTACCGCCATAGTTCGTCAGTTGCGTCGAGCACTTTGCAAGTGCTCGGGATCTCGGAAATTTCTTCAGCATCAGCCTCAGAATCATTGTCATCCTCCGTCGAGTTCCCGACCAGATCCTGCTCAATGGAAGCGTCTGTAACCACTTTTGTCATGACGACGCACAAGTGCCCACAGTGGTAGTCCTCCACATCGTCGGGGACAACGCTGTTGCTACAAAGGGACTGCCACGCTCCCAGAAGAGCATCTTGGTCCGTCTCATCTTCACTCGGAATGGATGAAACTGTGGAAGCACTTCCGCCTGCTTCCCCGAGAGTGCTGGCTGTTGTTGCTGCAGGTGCTCCATTTCAGACCCAGCATTCCAGAAACAGTTCTGGGTGGTTTTGTTCATTCCGACTTTCCAAGATGCGGAGAGCATCTCCGGTGCTTGAAAGATGCACACGTTCGTTGAACGTATGAGCGAAGGTTAAGCGGAAGCTTATTGATCGGCCGTTGACGGTACACGCAGTTCACACTGTTGATGACACCCTGGTCGAGCGGCTGAATTGAGGACATACAGTTGGCTGGGAAGAATTGCAGCCCCACGTTTGTTAGCTCGAGATCTGGTATGTGGTGCGCGGAACAGTTGTCCAGCAGTAGACACCCTCTGCGGCCGTCATTCTTCATCACCTTGTCGAAGTCGTCGAGCCATCCGCGGAAGATATCGTGGGTCATCCACACCTTTTTGTTGTACGTGCATTCGATTTCAAGGTCCCGAGCACCTTTGAGGCATTGCGGCTTCTTGCTTTTTCCAAATGTGAACAGCATCCACTTGTCACTCGCATCCATGTTCGCACAGAGAGGAATCGTGACTCACACCTTGCTCAGTTTTCCTCTGTGGCATTGACCTACTTTTAGGGCCAGTGTCCTATTTGGGAGCATCTGATAAAAAACAAAAAAAAAAACAGTCTCATCTACATTGTGAATGTCAGCTGGTTTGTACCGCATCATGGTTCCTGGCAGTTCCTTTTCAACCCAAGCGGCAGCTTCGGGCGCATCGGCTGACGTAGCATCGCCGATGCTGTCGGTGCCGCGCTAATGATCAGCGAATGTCAGTGGTGCTGCTGTTATGCCGTGGTAACTTTTTGCTCGGAATTTTCTGTCCTCCCAGCGGGATATGTTGGGACGCCCTTTCCCCGTGAAGTAACTTCTCTCCAGCACTTGCGTTTGTGTAGAATTTTGTTATTTTAATCTGGAATTTTTATTTTGAAGAAGTCTTTTAGAGGCTATTTATTTGTTGCCTTCTATGGCAATGGCGCTTCGTTATATTGAAATAGCAGCAAAACAGTCTTTGTTATATTCAGATTAAAAGTACATGGGGTTCTATGAAGAGGAAGTTTTAAAAAGTGAGTACTTCTTTAAACCGAGGATTTTGTTACCTTGAGGTTCGTTATATCGAGGTTCGACTGTATTTTCTAATGCAAGATTGTGTCTAATCGTTTGAAAATAGAGTTAAAGGAGACTTGCAAATTTTCTGTAAGACTTTGTGCAGTATTGTACACTGCAAAAATAGTACAGATTCCTTGATTTGAAAGGCAATTCAGTCTGTTTTGTTTTCCACTATTCTGTTTGTTTATTTACTTGTCTGCCCGTTGATTGACGTAAGTCAGAAGGACGGTGACATTTGCTATGTAAAGTGAGGATTACTGGTCTATTATGCGTGGTCACATTGTTATATTTTGCCTAGCTTTGATGTGACCTTGTGTGGGTTAACCTGTATTTAACGTTTAAACAACATTTGGCAAGTTAGTTGAGTTATCATGTGTGAGGCCGTTCCTGAATCTACTGAAATCATTCAATGGCCAGTTGCAATGCACCCGCAGGATTTCAATTGTCAAGGCCTTCTCATTTTTGCATACATTTTTTATTTCTCCCATTTAGCTGCGTGAGGTGGTGAACGTCATTGTGAGAGAATTCGCCATCATGGCAGGAAGAGTTGCTGAAGTAAGTGCCTCGACTTCCTATTCTTGACGACAATTATTGCATCGGGATGTCTGCCAAGAGACAAAACCTGAAATCACTAGCACTCTCAGACTCAAGCTCTCCAAGAAAGAATGTTGCACAACTACGTGCTTTCTTTGCTGCATGTGTCCTGGAGGCCAGGAAAGCAACTTGGTGCTAATGGTTATATCACTGAGTGGAGATGTGCGAGTAGTCAAAAGTGCAAATCCAAACTTCTAGTGTTTGGTGTATGATTAGACTTGCAGAGTGCTTCTGTCCTTACAAGTATTAGAATTTTTTTAAGTCTGATAATTTTAGCCTACATATGCATGGAATTGTCGCAGCTATGTACAAGCCACACCTTTAGCTCAGTTGTTTTCACTATCACCAAATTCAGTCTTCTCCATAGGCCATTATGCCAGCACCCAGCCCATTTTTAACTAAAGGTGGTAACTTCTGCCTTTTCGGGGTCTTCGTTAGTGATAACAATTCGATAATCGCTACCGGAAACTGCAAACAGGATTTTTGGAGATTTATTCCAGCCAACAAAGCCATAAATATATATTGATAGCCTAAGACCTTTTATTTTTTTCTAGTTCAATTGGGTAGTTTTGATCGAATGGCCAAGGTGGGCCTAGAAAATTAGGAGAATTGAGACGGTAATCATGGTACTAACATGGTATGCGAGTTTTTTAAGTGCTCAACTTTAACTCTGCGTTTTAAATCCGATGTCCGGGAATCCGACTGGACGAGTTTGCTCTCTCGCGAGCTCTTTCAATAAGCCGTTCGTTTTGTTGGTCTATTCTATCAAAACCGGCGGCGACTGCCCCCACCAACATTGCGCAGCACGTGGAATCGGTGTTGTCCGCTCGCTGGCCTCAGCTTGTGCTGACACTGGAGCCGACCTTGTCTGACAGAGCTTTATAGTCTGTGTCGTGGTCCCCAGATGGAGCTGGAGCGTGCCAAGACCCAGCTGCAGTCGATGCTGCTCATGAACCTGGAGGCAAGGCCGGTCATGTTCGAGGACATTGGGCGTCAGGTCCTGGCCAGCGGGCACCGCAAGGACGCCAGCTACTACATCTCGGAGATTGGTGAGCCTTCGTTTCGTTTCCATCGGTAACCCTCTGGGGTTGTTGTATGTTCTATGGAAGGGACCCTGAAACGATTTTTACCCTTGGGCTAACTACAACATGTACTCTGACGCTTCAAATCCACTTCGGACGGTTCGCAAAAATTGTTTTCTTAAAGTTTTCGCGCTGCGATTTACTACGGAGGTGCGACTTTGTGGTGGAGGCTTGTAGTGAAAATGTTGGCGGATGAACCTCACCCAAGGAACTTCTTCAAAAAAGAAAAATAACTTATTTCAGGCTGTCTGCTGCAGCATTCGCAGACGCTTTCGTGACCGTGCTCACCTACCGTATTTTCTCGAATATGAGTCGACCACGAATGTATTGTATTTGCGCGAATATAATGTGAGTTTTTGTTCGAAATTACATGCTCCAAAACTCACCTCGCGTTACATTCGGAATCAAGTTCAGCCACAAGGCGCGCAGAACGCCATGACTCCGGCTCAATGCAGGAGGTCGGGTGGGAAAAGAAGTGGGGGTGTGGGAGGGAATTTATTAGCTATTGGGCCATGTGAAGGGGGGAATAGAAAACATAAAAAGCATTCGTTTTTGTGTTTGTACAATGCACCCCGAAAACCACAAGCACGCAGCAGAAATGCAGCGCACCACGCGGGAAAACGGGCACTGGGCAATTGAAGCCAAGTCAAGCCGGGCCAAGTGAAGTTAACACAAGCCAAGCCAAGACCACCGACTGTGTTCACGCAATCGTGCAATACAAGGTGTTTGTTTATGCGGAGGGACCAGTACAAGGATTAGTGATCGTGTACAGTCAAACCCGGATATATCGAATTCAAAGGGGATCGTAAACTAGTTCGATATATCAATAATTTGATATACAAAAATATGTTAACTTAAGCTCTAGTTCAAATTTCCGCGCGTCTCTTCTAATACCGAAGACCGCAACAAACGGGACCTTACCAAATAGAGCCTCTCTCTAACAGTAGAGCTTAGTTGGTGAAGATCACAAACACTTGTAGATCACAAACACCGCCGCATTTACACCACGGTGTTTGCGTTTATCTACACCTGGCCACGACCTCAACACAGCGCCGGCAACAACACACGAAAATAATTTTTTTAAAAAAATGAAAAAAAAAAAAAAAAACGAGCCTTATTAAAACAAAAAGAACTATAGACCCATAGAATGAAGTTTTTTTAAGCAAGCAACAAAAAAAGAAACCATTAAATTCAGGCATCAAAAAAAGAAAAAACTGGGCAAAGCAAAAACGGCGAAAGAAAAAGGTAAACAAAGAGAAGCAAAGATAAGTGGTTCAAGGTGCGATTGCTCAACAGTTGTTGTGGACACACTCTACTTGAGGAAGACGTTTTTTTTGCTTATTTTATTTTGGAGCTAACACAGCCACAGCAGCGTTCGGAGAAAAAGTGCATGCTACCGTTCCAACCCCAACAGAGGGCACTCCCTGCCATCCCTGCGCAGCCCATGCCTGTCCCCTTGCTTTTACCAGCCTCTACATTCTTTTCTCTTTATTAATACTTTTTTTTTTTTTTTTTTACAATTGCTTTTTTGCTGTGTATCCCCGTGCGCTTATGCAGGCTTAACGGTCTGCCAGCCTTGCAACCCGAGCTATGTGCTCGAGGCCAGTGCACTCCGACCTGGGGAGAAGGGAGGGGCGGCCGTGCGTGCTTAGTTCGATATATCCAGTATCCTCCCCATGGGAGTTCTACACAGAAAAACAACGCTCCTATACTATTACATGTGATTTTCAAGGGGATGTTTGGACTGTTCGATGTAAACAATAATTCGAAATACTGGGGTATGATATAACCGGGCTTGACTGTATGGGGTCCAGCAATCATTTTTCTGCAGGCGCATTTTTTAGTTTCTGCTCCAGACTGGTCTGGTGCTTGTGTGTTGGTACTTCTGCTTCCTGCAACGCTTAGCTTGTGAGCCGGCTGAGGAGCTCATGTCCAAGAAAAAGGAACTACCAGACAAGCGGAGTTGTGCGGCTGCATATCTGCGAAGTCGCCAGGTGGATTGCAAACGGAAGTAGCTGAGCAGCGAGGATGAGTCCAGTCAATTTCCAAAAGGCAATGGAAATCGACATTTTTGATTTCCATCGCCTTTTCACTTCTGCTATGCCCCCCGAGTGCGGTAAAAATTTCCGAAGAGAAAAAAAAAATAATGTTGACTTACATTGGAATAAATATGGTAGTTGTATGTGCTGCCAAAAGATGGCCCAACGTAAGACACACACTACGTGGCACCTAAACCGATTATTGCTGTACCAAAATGGAAGGATTTAGCATTCCGATTTCTTATACAATTTATTTTTGTAAAAGTGAATGAATTACACTAGACTCCCTTTAAGGCGAACACGCACAAACCCTGAAAATTTGTTCGACTTATCAGATGTTTGCCTTAACAGAAGTGCCCTAATTATCATGCTGGGCATGTCTAAATTGCTGTTGACCAATAAACACAGAATGAAAAGGCCTACAATGAAGAGATACTTAAAAAGGGACATTTATTTGGCTTACCATGCCAAAAAAAGAAAAAAAATAATAATGTTTCACACACCACTGGTGGGGGAATCGATCCCTTTGATTTTTGATTGCCTCCTCCTGTGCAAATCGGTGTCTAGCGATGAAAGACGACATGTGACCCATGTTCCTGAGAAAACATGGGCCACATGTCATAATTGAACCTTAATCACTGTCATCACGTCCATCAGACTCCTTGTCCGACGCCTCCTCCCAAAGGCAGTCGTCTTCAGTGCCGTCAAGCGCATTTGAAATCCCACACTTCTTGAAAGAGCGAGTGACGTGCGTGCGCCGGCGCAGTGAAAACCCAGCGCGACGCATAAGGCGAGTAAGCCAATGTCGGCTCGCCAAAGTTCTCATGCAGCAGCTCGATGTTTACGGCGAGGTGCCGTTCATGCTGCTTTTTTGCAAAGTTTCGGCGAGGTTCCGTTCATGTTGCACTTTTACAAGGTCGCGGAGACTTGCCTCAACGTCGGAGAACACGTCATTCTTTGGGCCTCTAAAACTTCTTCTCGTTCCGTGGCCTGCAAACAGAGCTTGCTCTTGTCGTCTCCATCTGCGGATGCTGCCCTCATTTACGGCAAATTGTCGTCCGGCAGCATTGTTACCAATGTCTTCCGCAACCAAAATAACTTTTCTTTTGTAGGCGACCTATGATTGTTTTCGCACCGACGCCATTGCCGAGCCTGACTGTATACGAATGGTGGCACCTCGGACGTTGCGATTTTAATGATGATGATAGCTGTTTTGAGCGCCATATTGCTTCGAAACCGAAACTATGTCAAACAGCGTTAGATTGCGCCTCATCGAAGCTTAAAATTTGTAGAAAAAAAAACCTTGTATTATCTGCGGGTTTTTACGGTACATCTGACATGCACCTTAGCCGGCGCAATGCGCGGCGTCGCCATCGCCGTCGGTGCAGTGCCATCGTGAAGGGGTCCTATGGAAGTTCGAGTTAACCAAAATGCGTGCGCAAAGCGGTTCGTGGTAGACGATTTGTTTTTGCATTGCGTCTATGGGAAACCAACCAAATGTTCTTACTTTGTTCGGCATATCCGAGAATTCCGCTTAAACGAGTTCGCCTTAACGGGAGTCTACTGTATAGCCTTTTCAGAATTCTGCATCAGAGAGACACGCACTGGCATAGTGAAAAGTTTCTGAAAATCGTTCGCTAGACTCGGCGTTGGCACGCCCTTGACACTTTCAACAGCTGTCGGCGGCACACATGACTTGGCGAGCACTGTCGTGACATTGTCAGCGAATGCCACCACAGAGTGCCCAAAACAGGTTTTTCCTTTTTTTTTTTTTTTGTAATGTGGTAATTTTATTTGTCAACATTTTGACCGCAATCTCCCCTTCCCCCCCTAGCTGCAGCTCTGTGGTAAATTGTGGCGCAGTACGTTGAGAAACCGATTTTTTAGAAACATCTAAAGTGGGTTCAAAGCGTTGTAGTTTACATACTCTAGCTCTCGGATTTAATGCCTTACATCAGTGGTTCTCAACCATCAACGTTTCGCAGACCCCTTGTGGATCGGTAGAGATGATGGAGGACCCTGTTCATGGTGAGGGGAGAGGGAAGGTATAGGTTAAATATATTAAGAGTATAATAAATGGATTTAACTAAAGGCTAATGTGAAGTAAAGTTCTCTTATTGACATACACACGAAAAAACTCGCCCGGAAATGGAAAAATTCTTTCTCGATCTGAAAAAAAGACAACTTTTATTGCCGGGATCGACTGCTCTGGCAGGGCTTCGCGGACCCCAAAGGGTCCGCGGACCTTTATTTGGGAACCACTGCCTTACATCTACAAAGCGCGAGGCACGAGTCGGTGTTTGGTTATGCGTGCTAGTCCTTGCGGGAAGCAGGTTTATGGGGCTTGCATTCCTTTTCATCCTTAACTTTGCGTTATGCTCCCACCCGCACGATCCTGCTCCTTTTCAAAGCAAACGAGGAAAGGAGTATCTCTTGCCGACAAACAATCCGTTGAAGTCGGGCTTACTTGGGTTGAACACGGAGGGCCAAAGGTTTTAAAAGAATAGCAAAATGAAAAAAATAAGAAAATCAATGCTGTTGCAAATAACTGCTTCGGATCCTCAGAATACCACAGATTTTGTTTCGTGATGCCTCTATATTCCACTCGCATTCCCGATAGCTTTTGCAAGCTGCATGAAATGTTTAGAGTAGGGCCTGAAACGTTGGAATCCCACTAGAGTCTCTCGTCAAGTGAAACTTATTCAAACGTGATAGAGCTTGTAGTGGAAATCACATTCCAATAATCCACGAATGACCCGTCGCGCGGTCGTGGTGGTCACGCCACGGTGGGTTGCGACTACCGCAGCCAGCCGCCGCAATCTGTAATTTGACGCCTAATTTTAAAAACTAACGCAAAAAAAAAACAAAAAAAAAAAACAACTTTAGTTAGCTTTTGAATAATTAGAAAGAGTGAGCTGATCCCAAAGGCAGTGCCAGACTGCCAGTATTCCACTGTTTCCGGGGTCCTCGCGAGTTTCTTACCAAATATGAACACATATTTTATTACCTTTTGGAGCCCGTTTTGGGTACTAATACGATTTCCGTACGATGCTTTTTTTTTTTTTCGGTTTTCGGGACAATTGTGTTGATGAGGTCCTGCCGTATTCTCCGACGTATCAGACATTACCCAATTTCAAGTCGACCGTTGACGCATGCCCATATCTACTGTAGTCCATGAGCTTCGTTTGATTGTGGTGGGGCCTAGGGATCTGCGTGGGCTCGGGCTAGCCTAAAAGCCCTTCCCGACAGTCGGGTCGGGCTCGAGTGAATAGTATACGAGAGCACCGGTCGGGCTGGGTTCGGGCCGATTTATCCCAAAACTGCGTCGGGCTCAGGTCGGGCCTGGTTAAAAACGTCAGGACCCGACGGCCCGACCTTGCCAAACATTTTAGAATCCGGGTAAATATTTATTTCATTTTGGAAACCCAAGAAAGTAGCAGAGAGTTTGTTTTACCCTGTAACGATATGCTTTAGCTGTCTGTTCTTTTAAAAAGGGACAGTGCAGAGAATATGGCAAGGCACATTTGTCTTCTGTTTTTATTATACAACAGGAGCATGTACAGCGCTTGCAAGCTGTCCAGCTTGAGAAGCATCCAATGAAAATATTGAGGGCTAAAAGTTTTCGCCTTTTTTTCATTCGGTTTAATTTTGGCACAAGGCCATTTCCTGCGTTGAACCAGAGACACTCTATAGAGCCTCTCTTTTGAACAATGAGCCCGTGCTCTGATTGCCACCAGCCCACTGCCCACCACTTCAAGAGCAGCTGACACTCAAACCGACCCTCTCATTTATCCGGTGCGCACAGAGTTTATTTTAAGACTATAAATAGCCCCAGCAAGGTGAACTGGGTGCAAATACAGCATCCTTATTTCTCCGAACACATTACAATCCAGGGTGTCTAGCGACCGGGAAAACCGGGAATTGTCAGAGAAATTTTAATTACCGGGAAAAATCAGGGAATTGCCAGGGATATTGTCAAAAAGTGACCCCTGTCAGGGAAAATGAGCCGGAGACGCCATCAAGTGCCCTGAGCAAAGGCTCGACGACTTGGGGGCAGAAAAATAGGCAATAAATTCTGCTTAGAGTGGTGCGCGGGTACTGCTCACCCGATGTAGAGCATGGTACCCGATGCAAAGGGAAGAGCCGATAAAATCCAGTCGAAGCCTTGGATTGGATTGAATTGGATTGAGGGCGCGACACTAGGCTAGATTCAGTTAGAGCTACTAGATTAGTAACAAACGGGAAAGTCGCAGACCATGATTTAATCCAAACCTTAAGCCAAAAGTGTGCATCTGGCGGCCACGCGGCCATGCTGCCATTCGGTTATCGACATGTATGGTTGAACGTCGTGTTTTCATCGTGTTTCCGGAAGTGGCCTCTTTGCTGACGATGTCGGCGGTAAGAAAGGGTTCGTTTCTCCGTGGTGGACGAACCCAAATATTTTGGAATATGCAAGTTAGATTAAACTTGTGCAAAATGATCCTCACAGTGCTCAATGCTCAATGGCTTGTGTTGTAATGGTCTTATATACTTAACCACCTCTACAGTGGTGAGGGAATTTGACCTGAGATTGTCAGGAGAAACCTGGAAAAGTCAGAGAATTTCAAAAGAATAATTTGCTAGACATTCTGCAATCACAGCACCTGCCAGGGAGCACATAGTTTAGCGTTTAGACAGGAACTTTCACATGTGTAATCGCCGTTGTGCATGAAAGGGTCAAAAGCCTGTTCAAACATATACGGCAGCATTACTCAGCGCTGTGGACAAATTGCTGACTTTGCAATATATCAGATCCAATCCAATGCATGTACCCTGCCTTTCCTTCCTTACACACACAACACAGCAGTAATGTGGTGCTGAGTCATGCTGATAGTAGCACTGACGCAGTCTGGATTAGCATTATCTCAGGGCTGAGATGCATCTGTGAAGTGACCTTAAGGGGGGACATGGGTCTTTGCAGCCAACGACTTCCTAAAACTGCATTCTTTTGAAAACGATGATGGCAGTTGTTCTTCTGAATCTACCAGGCTTCTAATTTCGTGGATGAATATTTGAGCTATAAATCAGTTTATGATGTCTATGCGGGCTGAATGTGCATTAAAGTTGACTCTAAAACATTGTTTTCACATAACACAATTTTTGGACTCGTTGAAAATTTGCGGGAGGGATATCTCAGGATCTACAGCAGTCAGAAATATAACCTTCCCTGAAATGTGTAGCTAAATGTGTGAAACATACAATGTTGAGGGCAGATTTTTTAATACAAGTCTAGAAATTGTTTTATTTGATCTTTTGTTTTATTACTTGTTAGCAATGCATTGAGCACTGAACTACAATATGTTGTAAAATCACTAATAATGGGTTTATCTTAAAAGTGTTTCCAACATTGTATCCTTTACACTTCGTAGTATCTGGCCACGTACTAAAAATGATATTTTGTTAAGCAGTTTTTTCGCTATCATTCCTCCAAACAAAGGCAGGCAAGTTTTAATTATCTTCAGGACAATTCTACTGACTGAGGAAATTACCAGATATATGAAATCAGCACAAAAAGCTGAACAAGCTTATGCAGTTTCATTGAGTTTGGTCTTAAAATAAGAATAAAAGCTCCAAGACCAGTGTTTCCCCTTAAGGGTGTGTTGAATCCCCTTGGAGTGGTGAAGCAGTGGCTGAGGTGTGCATTCCTCTCCCCAGGCAAGATCAAGGAGGAGGACATCCACCGAGTGGTGCAGCGGATGCTCCGCGGCCGAGCCTCGGTGGCAGCGTTAGGCAACCTGTCCGGCCTGCCCCCCCTGGAGGACATAGAGACGGGGCTGCTGAGTAAGGAGGGCATGCTCCCCACCAAGCGCTTCTCCATCTTCAGGCAGTGACGACGCCAGACCATTCCCTTTTTGCACAAGCCTGGCGGTGACCCCAAAGAGCGCGTCGTCCTCTACCCTCTCCGGTGATCCGGTGACCTCGACCGTATGACGGAGGGGTGGAGTCTCGAGACCATGTTGGCAGCCATTGCACCGGAACCAGACGACCGAGCCTTAAGGTCGGGATTAAAGAATAAAGTTGATAGTGATGACTCGTGCTGATATAAGATGTTCCCCCCCCCTTCTCCCCCCCCCCCCCCCCCCCCCCCCCCCCCGCCCCCTTGATGGGGTTGGTGGAGTGATGCGGGGAATGAAGGGGCTAGTAATTCGAGAGATTTTAAAATAATAGTGTGTATGTAAAAATATTTTCCAGCATTTCTTTTGTCTTTTTTTCTTTTTGTTTTGGAGGAGCTATGGAATAAAGTCACTTAATGGTTTTCTCTGAGCTCTGTTCATTGTTTTGATTGAAAGATGATGTTAGAAAAGAACTGGAACAAATTAAGGATTCGAGCCGATTTACTTCGCAATAACCTAGTCCAGTGGTTCTCAACCACGGATGTTTAAGGATGCCCGGACAGCTGTTAACGACCGAAACCCCTGGAGCACGTACACCACATCCATGGCAGTCACAGCCTTCCTCTTGGCACGCTCGGTGTAGGTGACAGCATCGCGAATGACATTCTCCAGATATACCTTGAGGCCGCCGCAGGTGTCTTCGCAGATGAGGCTGGAAATGCGCTTCACACCGGATTGCAGGCTTTGTGTTTGACAAATGGGTGAGGTAGAAAAATGGCAAAAAAATGCGGCTTGGCACAGTGACAAATGGGTGAATTAGGAAAACTACTAAATACATATAAGCCAACTTTGAAGCTCCAAAACTGAGAATAATTAACCATACTGACTCGGTACACATGGATTGGTCTACTTGACTTTGTGAAACGGCCAGCATCAATAAAAGATTTATTGCTCGTAGCTTTGGGGATCTCTAGACGGCCTTCAGAAACACCTAGAAGGCCTTCGTTTACCCCTAGATAGCCTTCAAGGTCCCGCAGAAAATCATCTGGGGCCCGAAAAGGTCCACGGATTCCCATTTGAGAGCCCCTGACCTAGTCCCATCCAAGTGGCAAGCACCGAAATTTGTCTATGAACAAAACAAAACCAGTTTTCAGGTGACCTGACCACCATTACATGGGTGCAGGGGAAACGGAAATGAAACCCCCCTCCTCCCCAAAACAAAAAAAAACACTTAAGTGCCTTGAGAGGACACATGCCCCTAAAAGAGATTTAGCGCAATGTTTCTTTGCAGCGCACAATTTAGATGTAGGTATGCATGCCCATTATAGTATCACTTCGTTACAACAGGTCTGGTTACAGCAGACATTCGTTTGTAACATACCGATTCCAACTCCGCTTGTTACAGATTCTGCTATAACATTTGGATATAATAGGCTCTATTAAGGAGTTTGTAAGTAGTGCATCATTCCATTATCATTCCACTATTTGACGGCAGTCATTATTTGGGCACTGTGCAGCTTTGGTTCAGTAGCACTGGCATCAATTTTGGGAACCGCTGTCGTCGCACGTGGCACCTTACACGACCAAAACGGTGCAGTGGTGATCAGTACAGCTCGATAAAGAAAAATTAGCAATATCCATTCACATTTTGCCAGTATCACTGGTTAGAATGGACTCCAGTCATAACCCACGTCTAGGAGTATCTGCATTTTGCATACGCTCCTTTTACTGCAAACCAAAATTTTCATTGCTGTCAAGGCCTGTTTTAGTGAGTTTATAGGTACTGTAGTACCACAGGGTGTTCTCGAGTGCCATCCATGCGGTAAAAACAGTTTTATTAATAAACCAATGAATTCAGTGCAGTGAAACTTTTCACAAAGATGTCTTTAGCTGGTGCATTTATATACTCGAGCTTTATGGGTAGGAAAATAATTTAGGCCTGTAAAGATTGATCTTTCCTATGCAAAGGGAGGGACACGGCAAAAACCAGCTGGTTGGCGCTGCTCCTCAGATGGTTCAGTGTAAAAGGAAAATTTTGAAAGCTTCTTTGAGAGGAATATTCGAAAGCAGATCTGAGCGCGTGTGATATTATCGATAAGTAGCAGCATCAACTAGGGTTGGGCAGAAATACTCACAGGGGTGGAACGACTGCGCCATTTGCGTCATTTTGCGCCAGACGCATTTGTCTGCGCAATCGTGCGCCATGTTGAGGAAACTGCGCCACAGCCAATACCTCGCACCTTTATGCTCCAAATCGCAAAGCGTGCGCCGAAAAAATTTTATTTTGTCTTGGTTTCGGTTTCTATCGACTCGATTGGCAACAAGGAGCGCGTTTAGCTTGGTCGGCATTGCAATCCTTTGTTCTGTTTAATCTCCCTGTGTATCCCGAGTCGGAGGCGTTCGAAAAAACTCTGGGGTCGGATTCCAAATGCTACACCACCTGCGACTAGATCGTTATTCTTCAACCATAAATGGTTAAGCAAGTCGGCCGAGGTATACCTCGGCCGACTTGCTTAACCGTTTATGTAAGGATTGCCTGAGGCTCTGCGGCCCGGGATCGGGATGTCAGCCAGTTGAAAACAAATGAGCAAAAGATTCCTTTTAGTACTTCAATGTTAGAAGTTGGAACCGCATTTCCGCAAGATAAATCGTAATTTGATAGAACTGAAACGCGGTCCGATCCGAAACCTTGCCGGCCAGCAGCTCTCATATGCGAGTGGTAGATCTGCTCGGCGTACTTTTAACCTGGCTCCTGCTTATCGCTTCGAATACAATAACTCCGTTAATCGTAGTCTGCTGCTTCGATATTGAGTTGCACAATAGGATAAACTCGAAATTTGTGTCCCTGTTCCTCCACGCAACTGCACGTCCATTGCTTGCGCACGTCATGTCGTTCGCACACATAATTACTATGTTGAGCACGTGTGGGTTGTGAGCTAAGCAGTGCTGGTTTGCATTTTGAGCAGCTGAAAGCCTGTCAGAAAATATCAAGGACACTATCTTTAGAAACATATGGTACTTGCTTTTTGGTTCTCATTAGAAAAAAATTGGCTTGCTCTTTATGTTTATACAGCCTTGATGGAGATGTGCCTCAACGGGTAATCGGTCTCTCTGTAGATGAGAAATTTAGCCGGTGCGGTACAACCGCTAACCTGGGATTTTTAACGTGCATCACGCAGTAGTGATCACACGAACGCGTGCCGGTACGAAACTCATCCAGTTCTCATTAGAGAGACACTGGCGGTATTTATGCTCGCCAAGGCTTTTCTTTTTATATTACACATGAATTCACGAGGGCGCCCATCAAACCATTCGCCAATCTCTGGCCGCCAGGTAGCTGCGTAGCTGCCTTGCCTCAGACACGATCACATGGTCGTGTCGCCGTGGGGTCGATCGGGATCTCGAGTTAGGCTCCCGACGCGCCGCTTTCTCTCCTAGCCACTGGAGGGCGCTACAGGCGCCCCCGCGGCGAATGACGAGAAACCTCGCCCATCGATGGATATATACTCGGCATACCTCGGCAAACCTCACTCATGAGGGCCCTCACTCACCCTCATCCTCACAGGTGAGGTGAGGGTGAGTGAGTTTCTGAACCAGGAAAATTCATGAGTGTGAGGGTGAGTGAGGGCCGTGAGGGCTGTGAGGGCCGTGAGGGCCGTGAGTGGCGTGAGGGCTATGAGTGCGTGAGGGCCGTGAGGGCGGTGAGGGCGGTGAAGGCCGTGAGGGCGGTGAGGGCAATGAGGGCCATGAGGGCGGTGAGTGCGTGAGGCCCCCTTCAGATCGAGCATCTTTCTCAGCAATTTTGGTGTTGATGGCGGGTTGTTCTCCAGCTTTCCCTAGATCGACACGAATTGCTGAGATCGGGACCGGCTCAAAATAAGCAAGCAACTCGGAGCAATTCGAATACGTTTGAAGCGGCTGCATCCAATCAGGGACGCAAAATTTTCACGTGATACCTCGTGCCGGTGATTATGACACCGAAAGACTTGGTTCTGGTTTGAAATCGATCGTTTTTTGGAAATAAACTGTTTCAGAAAGGTGCATTAGCATTCTTAACGAGGTTTAAATGCATAAAAACACGTTTATAACTCGTAATTGTGTCTAAATAGTGCAAGAAAAATAAAATTTTATGATGACGGTGGCAAATTGCAGCAATTGGTTGCTGCGTGAGGGTCATGAGGGGTACGTGTGAGGGCCGCAAAGGCGGTGAGGGGCGTGAGGGCGGTGAGTGGCGTGAGGGCGGTGAGTGGCGTGAGGGCGGTGAGTGGCGTGAGGGCCGTGAGGGCGGTGAGTGGCGTGAGGGCGGTGAGTGGCGTGAGGGCGGTGAGTGGCGTGAGGGCCGTGAGGGCGGTGAGGGGCGTGAGGGCGGTGAGTGGCGTGAGGGCGGTGAGTGGCGTGAGGGCTATGAGTGCGTGAGGGCCGTGAGGGCTGTGAGGGCCGTGAGTGGCGTGAGGGCGGTGAGTGGCGTGAGGGCGGTGAGTGGCATGAGGGCCGTGAGGTTCAATGAGGGTGAGTGAAGGGCTGAAGGTGAGAGTGAGTGTGAGGGTGAGTGAGGGGCTGAAGGTGAGTGTAGCTGTGAGGGTGAGGGTGAGTGAGGGGCTTAAATGAGTGGCTGTGAGGGTGAGGGTGAGTGAGGGCGACCTAAAATGCCGACCTCTGATACTCGGTGGGGCAGGGGGCGAGAGGCGGGGGGAGGAAGTGGCCGAGTGGGCTAACGCGTCTCAGCTCGGAGCGTGGAGCGAAAGCTTGCGCTGGGAACCTCCTGGGTTCGATCCCCGCCGCCCCCGCCCGTTTCGATCTGGATGAGTTTCGTACCGGCACGCGTTCGTGTGATCACTACTGCGTGATGCACGTTAAAAATCCCAGGTTAGCGGTTGTACCGCACTGGCTAAATTTCTCATCTACAGCTAAGAGACCGATTACCCGTTGAGGCGCATCTCCATCAAGGCTGTATAAACATAAAGAGCAAGCCAATTTTTTGGGGGCGAGAGGCCTCTTAGGAACTCCGGACGAGACGCAGGCAGGCAAGTGGGTGGCGACCGGATCTAGGATATCGCGGGAAGCGAGGCCTAAGGGCCTTCTTTGTGTTTAGGGTTGGGCTTAACGTGCGTTTGTAAATATTTGTGTAATGTAGCTTGTATTTGTAGTTTATATTGAGTGTTTTGTAGCGTTGTGTGTTATTGTACCAATAAACTGGGAGCGGAATCCCGCTCCCGTGAAAGAACCAGGCTGGACTCGGGTTGTTGACGGACCACGTGGGAAATGGCGAATCGGCGGCGGTACGCGATTTCCTACAACCCACAAAACAATTCACGGCTTGAAATCTGTCTTTCCGAAAGCAGCCAATCGAGAACTGTCCGGTTTGAGTCGTGCTCACCCTCTTCTCCTGGCCACGTGCAGTTTTTTTATGGTTTAGTTAGACACAACCAC